AAATCAAAAGAAAAAACATGCATGACACTTTTTAATATTTTTTTTAAGCAGAGGAATAATGTTTATGAAAAAGTGTTTATGCAACCACATAAGAATTGGTGACTCCCACTTGGGAGTCTCAATTTAGGTGAATTGCTGTTCTACAATACACTGTGTTAATATAACAAGTGCAAAATGATCAAAAGTACAAAACAGATGTGATAAAATAATCTTATATCATATTTAACAATTTATTTACAATTTCTGTACACCTTGCACTAGATAATTACATTCGATTAAAATTTTGGTTGTCAGCTTTTTTTGGCTATGATATTGGCTCTTTTCAAAATCACAGGTTGAGAGCTCTTGTAATACATACTACATAATACTAAAAACACTATCTGTCAATAATAACCATTTTTCCTTCCAATTCATTTTGCTGTTAGGAAAAACATTTATTTTATCCCAAAATAAAAATGGAAGGACACTGCAGCAGCTGAAGTAAGGACTGTCCTTGTTAATTAAGGATGGCAACACTATATACAATAAAAAAATAACATATTGTGTTAAATCTTACATAATAATTGCAAATAATATTTTATACCTAAATAAAACTCATTATTATAATGAGTTTTATGTTTTACAACAGAATGAAAAATCTTATGTAAAAAAAATTAATAACACTCAATTTCGATAACTTGATCATTTCGTCTATTGATTAATTTGAATATTTAACATATTCACTCAATTTAAAAATGATATCATCATTTACAGATGACAAAAAATTTTAATAATGGCCAGACTAATTAATTCTAGTTCGAATATCAAATTTACATCTAACAACTATTAAAATAATGCAAAACAAATTTAATAAATCGTACATTAGCAACAATTATATATCCGCATTAAGATACAGATTGGACCATCCAAATTTTAAACTCAGAATAGAGGAATCTAAAATTTGGGGGTCCAAAACTCATTCAGAACTGCAATTTTACCTGTATTAAACCATTCAATTTGTCCATTTAAATCATCAATAAAGATAGAAGTTACTTTTAGGCAATTGATGAAGATAATGCATCTAAATATAAATTAAATATAAGTAATTTCTATCCAAAAAACAATTTATTTATATTTAAATTGTTTATTTATGCTACTTGTAGCAAGCAAAGAGCTTACAACTTTTTACCTGTTGCACATCCCAACTTCAGCTAGGAATTATGAAAAGTTAACAAGAAATTAAGCATAATTATCATAATTATATAAATAAATACAATAAAAAATGGCTAGTAACACCCTTAGAAACAAGATAATAACTTTTATATTTCATAAATAATAAAATAGTGTTTATAAATTAATAATAATTAAAAAAAATTTTTTTAATTATCAAAAAGCTTAGTTAATTATGTCAATTACAAATTTGTTTGTAAATAATAATTTTAAAAAAGGAATGCAACTTACAAACTTATAACTTGTTGCAACATCCAAACAATTGCTGTAGCCTAGGAAACGTGAAATTGAAATATTTATAAATTTTTATAATAAGTGTTAAAAAATTTATAGTTATTATTTATGTCCCTCTTAATTCCATTACATTATTAATTCGTTGTATTATTACTGTATTGTGCATAAATTTTAAAAAATGATGTTTATGTTAACTCCGCTATTGATACAATGTTTTAGTATCGAATGTTGTTGTTACTGTTATATCGTGCGAAAATATAAAAATATTGAAATAATAAATATTCTCGAATATTTTCTAAGAATAATAAATATAACTGTATTAAAGTAGGGACTTTATTTACTTTATTAAAGTACGCGAAATGATCATTTTCGGATTTTAATTTTCGATAATTTTGAGATTTTATTTTGGTTTTTTAAATTAAAATGTAAAAAAAATCATTAAAAAATTAAATTGTTTATTTCATTTAAGTGATTTTTAAATATTATAAATAATATCGCTTCGAAAATGGTTTTAAACAAATAAAAATAATAATAAAATATTCAATAAGTATTATAATCATTTAATAAAATTTTTATACATTTTTTATATTATATCATTTAAAATTTATGTTTATTGTTTTTTATTATTATTATTTTTAAATGGAGAAACGAAAATTATTTTCGGCACTTGAATTTGTAACAAAGTATTTTCAATATTTTCAATATTTACAGGGGGATAAGAGGAATTACTCAGTGGTATATCTTCAAAGAGATGAAAAGAAGTGAGAAGGGTTAGTCAGAGGGAAAGTCTGTTATGGCAGGGGCCGAAGGTGGGTGGAAAGTGGGAGAGAAGTGAGAAGTGGAAGGGGAGGTCAAGAGCCGCACCGGGAACTTTATTTAAAACACAAAAAGGTTACATATGGAAATAATATTTACAAAAGAAAACAAGAGAGGCACAGATTTTTAGGTCCGTACATAAAAACGCGACTATAAGTTCCTTAACACAAAGTAGACATTACCTGGCTTAGTACCCATAAAATTTACAATATTAATATCAAAATGGTGAATATTATGATTAGGTTTACAGGAAATACTGCTTGGTGGATAGAGTTGTAACTCAACTACACACAAATAGCTATACATAATACACATGTTAAACGCATGTTGAACTAGATGATGTGCTTACTCATTGTCGTGTTACAGGTCCAGAACCTTTGTTGACTCCACAAAATTTATAAGTGCGTTAAAGATCTTCTTATTTCTAACTAAGACGTTGTGGTCTCAAGGCCAGTTGTATTCCTCCTGTAACACTGTCCTGAGTAGATTCGTTCTATGATGGGTGTATTGGTTGCAGTCGAATATGAGATGCTGTGCGTCTTGTTGTGAAGTCCCATTGCACTGACAATGTGGGGAGTTCCTGTGCCCAAATCTGTTTAGGTAGGCCAGGAAATTCCCGTGGTTGGTGAACAATTGAGTAGTTCTAAAGTTAATGCTGAGGTGTTGAAGCTGTAGCCGCTGTGCAATGTCTGGGAAGAAGCTGAAGGTTGTCCTTCCTGTCTCTTCCTCTTCCCAGTTGCGCTGCCATATGTTGATCATAGTGTTCCAGATGAGTTTCTTAGTTGCCACCATCGGGATGTCTTCGAAGGTAATGTCAGTAGTACTCGAGGAGACCTCTCTAGCAAGGCGGTCAGCCTCCTCGTCACCAGTGTCACCAGAATGTGCCCGTGTCCACATGAAGTTTATGTGGCTGGTGCTACCAGTTAGCTCCTGAATGATCATCCGTTTAATGTTGTCACCCAGCTTACCACTGGATATGCTTTGGAGAGCAGTTCTACTGTCCGAGCAGATATAGATGTTTTTGTCCTTGAGCTTAGTACTCGTATTAATGTACTTGAGGGCTCTGTAAATGGCATACAGTTCAGCCTGAGTGATGGAGCAGAACCCTACCAGGCGGTGGGATTCTTTGTGCATGAACTGATTATTTCGAGTATTATAGTGGACCAGACCAGCACCCACCCCAGTCTTAGATTTAGAACCGTCCGTGTAGACAATATTATATGGAAGGAAACCCGCTGTCTGGGAACCCATTGAGACCTTTGGTAGATGAGCAGGGTGATGCAGTGGCGAGTAGGTGGTCTGTAACAAAGTATTAACGATTTATGCGCGCAACGAATGGTTTCTATCTGGGCGATTGAAATTCGTCCGTATTCGCGGAAGTTTCGTGATAAACATCTTGACTCAAAATTAAATACTTTGACGGCCGGATGGCGAGCGGTTAGGCCCACTAGTGGCCGAGTAGATATCACTGAACAGTAGTCGCATGTTCGCGCCTTGCCAAAGAGCTGACTACGTTGAGTTTACTGGGTTTTCTTCACATTAGTAACACCAAAAATTGGAACAATTTCCCCATTCCCATAAATGATCTCCAGAGAGGCATCCTCCTCAGCAGATCACCCGTGCGTCGCGTTGCCGTATACGAATAAACCAGGGGTAGCTGCCTACCAATCTGGAGGACCCGGGATCATATTCGCATGGGTCGAAAAAGCCAAGGAATTTTTTGGGAGGTGGTTTGTCCGGCTGATCACTACCCTCAAAATTTTAAAATCGAATGCAAAAACGTTGTGTTTTTATAACAAAATCTCATAACAGATGGCGCCACACACAATTTTATTATATTATAATTAAAAAATGCAAAGTTATTTTTTAAATAAAATCTCATAACAACGCGGGAAATTACGCCACTCGTTGCTGGATTTTTTTAACAGAAATTAATTATCATCCTCAAATGTTGAAAACGCGAATAAATTTTTGGAACTCTCTCACCACTTATTGTTCATAAGTGAATTAACTAGCGGCCGGATGGTCGAGCGGTCAAGGTGGCAGCCTACCGCTCTGGGGAGCCGGGTTCGAATCGTTCGAAAAGTTAGAATTAAAAAAAAAAGTGAATTAAAAGTTTTGTTCTAATTTAGTTAATATTAATAAAGACAGCGTGGATAATAAAGCCTCTCATATAACGTTATTTTAACTATTAGATTTCTTTATTATATAAAAAATAAAACATTTCAATATATTTTGTATATAAAAAAGATGCCAGAACTATTGCTATAACTAAACATTTTAAATTATCAAATTCAGAAAAATCTACAATATTTTACATTAAAATTACATTACAAATTGGTACATTGATTTCCATTTATATTAAATTTTTATGAATGCAATAAATATCTCAGTATTCATTGAACAATTATATATATNTTATAAATACTATAGTTATTTTACTGTATAATCTACATAATTTTGAATGAACAAAACGTTCCAAGAGATATCAAGAACTAATATTTATTTGAAATGCAATCATTCTGTATACAGTACATGCATGTTTGTTTATTCTTAAGGTAGGTTGAAAAACTCAATAGTTTGCTTACACAAACTCAAAATCAGAATCTTATATTTAAGAAAGAACAAACAACTTAAAGTTACTATATTTTTAAAAAATTCAATTTTTTAATTAAGCTGAAATAAATAAATATTAAATAAATTTAAAAATCTGCTTTGAAATTTCAAACATCTGTAGACTTTAATTGTAAAATTTTCATTAATAGGAAATTTTTTGAATGTTTATTTAAATAAATATTCTTTACAAAAGATATAAGTTATATATATACATTAATTATAAAATCAGTAAACAGTATTTTTTAAAACTGATTTGTTTAAATCAGCATTCAAACAGAACAATGAAGCTACATTCTTACATACATTCTTCAATGTACAGTACCTAGTATGAACAATAGTCTGTATACAATACTCTTGGAATGATTAACTGAAGATATGAGAACAGCAATATTCTATTTCCATCCAAAATTTGCTTCAAGTTACCTTAATTAGAAGCTAAAAACATAAAAGCAAAATTAGTCTGTAACTTTATTTATACAAAATAAAAGAATCTAAAGCATTATAGAAATTTCAGTCTGATCAATTTATTACATTAAATGTTTTTTGAAACTATACATTAAGACTGTCTTAACATTAGATTCTTAACTAAAAAATCCAGAAATGAGTGCTTAACTTTCCTAACAAAAAATTTTTAAATTGTGAATGGGCCATATTTTATTTTAAAAACTTTTTATAACAGATCATATTATTAATTATTATAAAAGGAAAAAAGCTTAATTCTGAGGGTAGAGATGATTTTTATAAAAAAAATTGTAAATTCTAACAACAAATAAAATCATTAAGTCCAACCCACTTAAGATATTACATGTGACCCCCCCTCTATTTCCTCACCCCTTGACCTATAACCACCAAAATTTAGTAGCATCAAGCCCCTAATACATAAGCCTTCTTGCAAAATTTCAGAAATTTTCAACAAAAAACATATAAGTTATTAAGCTTCAAAGAAGATTAAAAAAAATTGTGCCCTCGACACAAACTAACATCCATACATAGAAAAACATGCAAATTTTTTTTTTTTTTGCATTTCTCAGCATTTCAAGGTCCTGAGTCCAAAATGTAAAAATGCAGGGGGGGTATTTTTTACTGATCACCATACTTTTTATACATAAGAGAGGAAAGTAAACATAATATATTAAGAAATATACAAACATAATGTTTAGAATGTTTAAAACATCAGTCTGTATATGTTCAAATTTGTTGTTTTCTACTCTGAAACATTATTTTTTAGTTAAAGTTCTGGATGAAACACAATTTCAAAAAACATTTAATCTAATAAAACAATTAGACTCCTTGAACTTTTTAGCATTTCAAATATTTAAATTTAGTTTTATTGTTTATTTTAATTTTTAATTGTTTTATTCTTGTATATGTCATCAGGACTTCAAATTTCAATATTAATATTTATCATATTGAATTTGATCATTTACCTGAATAATTTTATAATCTTGTCAATTAAATTATTTATGATCATCCTGTATTTTTTTACAATTATATACTGTATTCAATAGAAAACAACAACTATAGATACAAAATATTAACTTCTCCAGGTTTTCTTTCTAAGACATTACAAGACTAAAACATTAAGGTTCTCAGTTAATGTTCTCAGTTAACACATTTAGCTTATTAAAATAAATTTCATTAATTATTTAAAAACAATTCTTATCAATTTATACAGACTCAAGTAATAATTTTAAAAAAACAATGAAATATCTAACAACAATGTTATATACAGTTTTATACAATATTGAATTTATATACAGGACAATCTCAGTAATCTGGCAGTTAGCTAGTTCAACACATCCAGTAATCAGACATTAGTTAACTCTAGTATTACCAGCACTTCTGTCAAGTTGTGGACAAACTTCTTACTAATTCAAAACTCCATTTCCCACTGAACATGGCATTATGTCAATCTCAAGCTTGGATACAATATTAACAACTCAGCAGTGAGCGACGACTATAGTTGTCAAGGGCAATCGTGTGGCACTGGTGAGGGATGACTATAGTCATCAAATTCTTTAGGGGGTATCGCCAAAAACAAGAATAAAAATACCACGAAAAAAAATTCACATAAAAAATGAATTATGTAACAATAAAAAAAGACTTTTCTTTACTAGACATAACTGTTTACAAAATCTTTTTCTGAAACAGTAATGAGAAAAAATGCATGGAAAAATACTTTAAAAATTTCCCACATTTATTCTCCATTACTGGGGGTAGAACCATACCCGACTAGTCCACTGTTGAAAGGTTAAAGATCATTAGGCTTGTCATCTTGGGGTGCTCAAATTGTTTGCTCTCCTTTCATATTTTCTTGCTATTCTATATATATCTTGATTAATACAATGTACTGTACTAATATCATGCAAATAAACAAATGTTTTCTTTCCAAATGATTAAAACATTGCTTACTTCCAATAATCTGCAATCTCCTTAATCTAACACTGTTCAATTATGAAGGAATGTTGGATTACCAAGATTTTACTCTATTTTACTATATTTGAAGTTTAAAGTATTGAAATTTCATAAAATGATTTATATTAACAAAATAATTAAATTAATTTTTCTAGGTTTTCTTAAATTTTTGAAATTATCCCTTTTCAAAAGATTTAAAAAACTAGAAATAAAGTTTATTACCATCAGAAACAGCATATTTCATAGTCCATTCTTTAGCATGTTGGACAAATATTGGTCGATTAAACTTGAATTCTTCAGCCTAAAAAAGAAAAAAATTCAGTATGTGATTCAAAACTTCAATTATTACCTCAAAAAACTAAGCTTACAATTTCAGCCATTAGTGGATCATCAGGATTTGGTTCATTCATTAGTTGACGGATACATGTCAAAACAGATATTATGTTCAATGATGGTTTCCATGTTCCCTGTAAAAAAACTTTTTATAATAATCTAAATTTTTAAATATTACAGATGTATTTTACAGATTCCCAAAATATCAATTCACAATTAAATCTCATGTTTAAATCTTTAGATTAAAATTCAAACACAAATTCACAAAATTCGATAAACTTCAATGCAATAAATAGCATTTTGTAAATCACAAATTTCAATAAAAACTTTTAAAAAATTATTGACTTTCAGTTCATCAGACATAAAAAAATTCAATGTATATAATGCTGTCATTTGAATGAAGTGGTGAGAAGATACTTTGTATATTCTTCATATGGTTATCTTTACTAATTATATTTTGTTTCCATACATTTTTTATTAATAATTTTAAAATCTTTTATTATAAAATAATACATCCCTTATATTCTTTACTAATAATGCTCTGACAATCAACAAATGATTCTGTTTAATGCTGTTAAAATATATGAATTTAGACTCAAGTTTGTCAAATTTTAAATCAAATATCAAGTCTAAATAAAAAGAAGACTTGATGAGTTCAAGTCAGTGTACTTGGAACTGAAAAACTCTAAATGATTATAATAAAAAATAAAAACATTAATTTTAACAACTTTATAATTGCCTTTCATGCAAGTCCTAATGTTTACTTTCACACATCAATTAAGAACCTATCACAAAACCTTAGCAACTATTACACGATCTAAAGAGTGAGATCATGAAGGAATGTCCTCTTATGAGATCTTACAAGACATTTGAAAGATCCTGCAGAAACATCTCCCATATATATATATATATATAAAAATAAGGAAAAATCATATCACATAAAGAATGGTTTTTCACTTATATTTAAATAGATGATTGATTGCAAATTTGAAATAATGGTATGTATAATAAATTATGGTATTATTTCAAAGTTGCAATTATAATGTTTTATTTAATGCAATACAAACCATCGGTGGTAATTTCAAAACATCCAAGCATATTCTTCCTGCAGTATCAATATTTGGATGATATATAGATGTTGTAAAAGTAACATTAGGAGGCTGAAATGGATATCTGAAATAATAACAAAATTGTCTTGATTTGCATATAATATTTTAGTGATATTTAATGTTCTAAACACACTTATTAATACTGGAGTGAAAGTATAGCTCCAAATCTTTGTAGAACCACATATGTACAAAAAAGGGGCATGCCCATGGGCAGTTCAATATCCGAGGAACTCTGAAAAGGTGGTACATATGTTGAAATTAAAAGTATTACTTCTAATCCTTCCTCACATTCACATTTACAAAAGATATGTAGATGACATTTTGATCATCTGAAAACTAAACTGAACATAGAAACCAACTCGCTTGAGTCTCAGACTGGACCAATCCAATAATACACGGGCCCACTTCTTAGATCTACAACTGTTCATTCACCAGGACAACATCTATACAAACATTTCTTACAAGCTATACCATCTGCCAGTGTTTATACCAGCATTCTTCTGTGATCCACATTTGTATAAAGTGGCAGCATTTTGATCCCTAACAAAGAGGACTTTACACTGTAATATGGTTGCTGTCTATTGGTTCTTGTATATGAAACGTCTCTTTAATCCAAAACTTGTTCTGTAGACTGCCTCACAGTATTGCAGTTAAAAACATCTTTATTTGGTATTATAATAAAACTATAATCTAAGATTCTTTGTACAGTACAGTAATGTATTAAAAATACCGGATAAAATTTATTGCTGTAACATTCATAATGTTTCACTAAAGTATACTAGTATAAGCTCACTGAGTGTATGGAAATAAAATTAATACTGAAATGTTGTGTATGATAAAATTATTGCGAAAGCTATTTTATCACGTTTTATGCACTGAAGAGGGGTTGTAAATATAAATCAACCCAAAATGCATTTGTAATCCAATTTTGTAAACTAAAGATGTTTCTAACTGTAATGCTCCGAGGCAGTCTACTGAACAAGTTTTGGATTAAAGAGACATTTCATATACAAGAAAAAAAAAAAAAAAGGACCAATGCACTGCACTTACCATAAGAACATATTGAGTGAGCTAAATCTCCTGGAGTGTTTTGAGGCCAAACACAGTTATAAAATAGACTTTGTCCAAAAATTGGCCAAAGCCAATTTTTAGATAAGGTCTAAGGTTTTAATTTTGGATAAGGTCTAAGGTTTTAACAAAAATAACAGAAGGGAAGATAAGTAAAGGGATAACAGAAATAATGGGCACGATACCAATACTTTCCATATAGTAGTGGAGTATAATCATAATATGAATAACATATATAAAGAGATAGCACAGTATAAGAATGAAAAAATAGCATACACGCACAACCATACTATATACAACATGTTATGCAACAGCAAAGATGAAACCAATCAACTCAACTTACCAGGAGTATATTGTATTTCAACAATACACCATAGAGATCAACAGGAATTGGAGTACATACATAGACTCCACCACACACTGTCTACAAAAAAGATTTGCTGAACATAAGTACGATATCAGCCACAACAAGCTCATCACTGCCTTGGCTATTTATGCCTCAGACAGCGTCATCCAGGGCAATCTACAGAACACTGCATTATTAGGAAAGCCAAACAATCAGAAAAGATTGGGCTTTGGAATCGCAGGAAATATATAAAGCTGAAAAACAAGGGAGAAGGATTAATTTCAAGAATGAAAAATGCTTGTTCTATGCATGGCAGCTATTACTTTAAACCAAATCAGGACACTTTTATAACAGTTTAAAATGGGTTTAATATCTTGTGCCCTGCTTTATAACAATGACATCACACAGTAAATTTAACCTGGAGATGCATTCAATTAATGGAACAGTTTTAAAAATACAATGTTTATGTTCGACCTGAAGAAGATCCAGCTGATGAATCAAAAATGTTAGTCGTTATCAAGATAATAAGCTACTGGAGAATTGTTTAGAAGGTTCTACAAAAAAGGTTTGGAGCTAGTAATATTTAAAAAATGAAAATATTTAATATACTTACTTGTCTGGAATAATTAGTTCTAATTTAAAAATTCCATTTTCATAGGGAGTACCTTGAGTTCCATTTATTGCTAAAATTATAAATGAAATTCTAAATATGTTAACTTTCCTAAATATTGTAATATAAACATTTAAATATAATAAATCCACTAAACTATCAATAAATCTGCAATTAATTAAAGTTAGTTTTAGAAAAATTTAGAAACTTTCTGGAGTTACGAATTAAATTTTATAAGTTTGATTATAAAAGATTTCTACTTTTATATTTATGAATATAAAAGTAGAAATCTTTTCTAATCAAACTTAAAACCAATGCTTAAAAAAGGGTGAGAATAAAAGAAGTCCATCTTAAGAGTTTGAAGAAACTGCAAATATATAAACACTAGCAAATGAGCCCGGTGTTGCTTGGAAAAACAATTTGGATGATTTGGTAAATATTGTTCATGTGAAAATTAAATTATTACTATCAAAAACAAAAAAAAAAATCGCATCTAAAATAGACAGTAGAAACCATTCTTCAGGTTAAGCCTTAATCCTTTCCCTTTCCCCCACAGGGGAATTACCAAAAATCCCTTCTTAGTGTGCATTTTTATGACGTACCCTAACTGTGTACAAATTTCACCTCTAGATTCAATGGTTTGCTCTGGGCAATGATGAATCAATCAGTCAGTCAAGACTGTAATTTTATATATTTAGATAACAGAAAAATAGACAGCCATAGATTATAAGGATAAGACACCTTATCATAAGCATGGAGGTTGTTTTTTTGAACGTAAAATAATTCTGTGACTTGTAAAGTGACACAATCATGAGTCATCTAATCAAATGAGCTCATCTAATCAAATGAGTGTTCAACTGTTTAAAATCTACTCTAAGTCACAAATAAAAATACATGCAAAGCTTTTAAATTAGCAAACTGTCCTTTAATAAAGGCAAACTAATACTTTCAAGCATTTTCAATAGACTATTCAACAAAATCAAACACTTTTAAATATCATGAAACATAGGAAATCAAACATATAAATACTGAAAATTTGAATCCAGATCTTTGCTTTGATTAAAAATTATCAAATGTTACAAAAGTTTAGCACAGAAAAAAATCAAAATTATACTCTTCATGTAACAATGTGATTACATCCATATGTATGTAGCCACAATCCTTAATCCCAGGCATCAAAACACTTGTTACAAATTGATGTTTATATCACGGAGATCTCAAACCATGGTTTCCAAGCCTTAGAGACATCGTATTGATCTTTGAAATTTATAGACCTTGCTTTGCATTTTACTTACATATGTCTAGTTCCTCAATCCATTTCAGACTATGTCTGCTTCTTATGAGCCTGACAATTTTTGCTTCACTCCAATATACAGTACCACAATCAATTCATGTAAGTCATATGCCACTAAAGCCATGAAGGATAGCATCTTAACTATATATTCATATTCTGTGATTCTGGTCCTCAGGAACATGTAGTCAACCCAACATATTCCAAGCTTCAAACAGCTCTGTGGTCTACAATACACTCTTTATACATCCAATAGTTTCAATGAATTTACTTCATCCTTATCATTTCTAAGAAGGTTCTATATGGTAGTGTTTCTTCTATAAAATTATATTCCTGTCCATGATTCTTGCAATCTCCTTATAATTAATGATCCTGTAATCACTTTTGCTATTCTCAGCTTTTGTTATTTAAAAGGTTTTATGTGCATTTATTTTGCATTTTTTACTGAATCATTTGTTTTGTATTATAAGCAATTATTTCTTTCAATAAAGGTAAAGTCCTTGCAATCTGCAATTCTTATTTTATCATCTTGATGCATTGCATTCATGTGAATTTTTTCTGACACTGATTATCTGAATTTTTATTTATTTGAACCACTTCTAATCCCTTTTACTGTAGCTTGGATAAACAAAGTTCACACAGTTGTTAATCTTTTTAAAAACAAAGTTTCTCAATACAAAATATAAGTAATTAAATAAATTAAAAACCTCAGAGATAAAATTACATTCAAACATATCCTGTACTTGATAGATTTTTTTTTCACTGAACTGATACTGCTCTTGCTAATTCTCTGAATACTACCTGTTCTGATGTACATTCTCTATTTAATAATATAAATGATGTTACAAATAGTTTTTTGTTTTTTTATTAGAAATAAGTGCACCACTCCTATGGGAGTATAACACTAAGAATACATAAACAAAATAAATGATTCAAAGCAAGCATAAAATTAGAAAATTCGGCTTTTAGTGAAAACTAAAAAGTGAAAAACTAGAAATTATAAATAGTCTTCCATATTTTTTTAACATAATTATAAAAGGCATTAAACAGTGGCTTCTGAACATGCTTATCCAGTGGACATGGCCACCTGAAACCATGCGTGAAGATTTCTAATTTCAGAATAAATCTATCTTGATCGTAAATTGGACAATGATAGATCATATAGTCGACGGTGTCTAGGTTTTCTGTACACAAAAGCAAGGAGCAGTTTCTGCCCGGTTATACATCGCCAGGTAACTTCGAAAATTACCATGCTCAGTAAGTAGTACAAATAGAATAACGTTATGCTTATTTGGGTCTCTATTATAGTAAAATTTTAATTATGCCAAAAAATTAATTCTTCCTATACTTACTTGCTCGTAAATGACGTATAGAACCATCAACATTCCAGCAAGCAATACCTGGGGAAGTTTGCTTTAATATCATTTGCATCTCTTTCGTCATTCTGGCTTTAAATTGAGCCATGTTTTAAATAGTTTAGTATACCTTATTTCTTAATTTACTTAAATATCAATACAAAAAACACTGTCACTAACAGAAAAATAATATAATTATTATATTAATCTTATTTATTTTAAGATATGAAAACCACGTGAAAAAGTACGTCAACTAATTTCAAATTTAGCTCCTTTTTAAGATCAATGTTGCCAGAAGCAAAATATTTTTTGTTTTTTCTTAAAAATAGACATATTCTTTAATAATTAATACAGCGATTTTAAAGATAGAAATAAATAAAATATAATAAATACGCAATAATATTTTATTTATAATTTTAAAATATAAATTTCACATCACGTGATTACATTATTTAAAAAAAAATATAAAAATTGATAAATATTAATTTTTACTGATATAAACGGGTAATTATTTTAAGATTTTCGATATAAAAGAAATTGATGTATGTATATCACATGTTGTGCTCTAATTCTGGGATTGGAGAAGATAGAATTTTCCGCCATTTTATTGCGGGAGAAGTCTTTGTGTGGTTGAGGAGAAGGGAAGCGGATTAATGACTTAAATCTTATTTATATAATTTAATAATGTCTTCAACCAGTAACAACATCTCTGATATACGTAGACCAGACAAAATTCAAAGGTAAAAGATTAGATTTAAAACTTAAAAAATATATATATACTACAATTAATGATTTGCGTGTTAATTGCTTAATGTAATTATTTAGGTATAAGGCACCTGCTGTGGGAACTCCTGGATCTCCTGGAGATGATCCAACTCCTGATTATATGAATGTTCTTAGTATGATCTTCAGTATGTTTGGATTGATGATGAAGGTAAAATCAAGGCAGATAAAGCCTAGAATAGTATCAAATAAATGTGTTACGTGGACAAATTATACATTTAATTGAAAGCAGAAATAATAAAACATACATATGAAAAGCAAAGTTTACATATATATATTTATATATTAATTTGCTTTTCAATCAATGTATTATATGAAACTTCGATACTTGTAAATTTCAGTTATCCACGTGTATTTGTCGCCATTTTTTTGTTGTAGCTACGTAAACTCTGGTTTGGAGGAAATCGTAAAGCATATAATCTTTAAATTATTATAAAAAATTAAAATAATTAATCTTATTTTGGTTAACTGCACAAACAAATAGAAAATTTCTGGATTAATTTGGTGTAAAAAATTTTTAAGTTTTGAGCATTTAGAATTTGGAAATCAGATAATAAAAGATTTAGAAATCAGAATACATTCTCAATTGAGTAAGAAAACTTGTATAATGATGATTAAACTCAACTTTCACTATAAACATGTGGGAACATCCCAAAACCTAGGGATCAGTAAGGGGTCAATACAACATTTTTGGGAGTCAATTGAAAATGGTTTGTTAAAAATTATTACTGATTGATAAATGCTGATTTATTCTCTTCTATTAACAGTAACCCTAATATCATAGTATTATATGATCTTCTGTGAGTGTGACATCTGTACATAACATTTTAAACAGAACAGGCTATATCGCAACTCTGAACAATTTATTAAGAAACTAGGTTACATGACTAGACCAGACCTACTTCCCCCTTTGATGGTGGTCTGTGCCCTACTTATCTCCCTTCAACTAGGCTATGAGGTTTATGGACATTTTCTGTTAGTGGATTTATTATTATTATTATCAGATATTCCATCTGCTGATTTGTGAGATATAACACAAATTTAAGAATAAAATTAATATTTATTTGAATAAATGGCAGCTAGGATGTAAAATACAAGTTACAATAAAAGTACACAATAACAATATTGGCTAATCTTGAATTTTAGTAAGTACTTTTGTTCTGAATTAAAAGGACTTCTCCAGGCATAAAAAACAATCATCAGTACTGTGTATTGTTAGGATGATTTATTTTATGCTTAAACTTTAGGCGAGGAACACACGTGTAGAATTCAGCATAAAATCTAGCATAAAACAGAAAACGTAAAAATTTTTCCGAAATTTTGGCTGAAACAGAACTGAAAATAGAGTAGAGCATGTCTCTACTTTTTACGGCAAAAACTTTTTACACCAAAATTCTTCCAATAAAGAGAAGTCTTTCCTGTGATGTCAAAGTAGACACGTGGTTTATATTCTAACAATGGCGGCAATGAGGGTTAATCCTACAATTGTGATGGTCTGGAAAAATAAATGAAATAGAGAAATTTATTGAATCCATTCAACCACATTAGTATCATGTATAAAGACACTGTATTTAAACAATGTTTATGGATGGCTACAGGTGTTAAATTTCAAATAACAGGTAAGTCTAGTAGAATCGATATATAGGCCTAGTATTTAGATCACACGTTCTTTATTTGAATTCGGAATACAAGTCTTAATTTAAATTTTCTGTATTATAGCAGAGGAAGTGGAGAAAAAAATGGAAGGTACAAAGGGATAGATAGTCTCTATGAAAAGAAAAAATTAATAAAATTAGCACTAAAAATCGTACTTACTCAACCTTTATTGTCCGGTACTTGTAAATTATTTGTAAAACAAACGTTTTCGGCCTCAGTCGAGGTCTGCTTCAGGTTAAATTATTGGATTTCATTCTTCGAATGCACGTTTAGTNGCATTCGAAGAATGAAATCCAATAATTTAACCTGAAGCAGACCTCGACTGAGGCCGAAAACGTTTGTTTTACAAATAATTTACAAGTACCGGACAATAAAGGTTGAGTAAGTACGATTTTTATAAGAATACCGGTATTCGGATTAGAAGATTTTTAAAATTAGCACTGTTGGTGACAGTGGTGTTTCCTATTCGGCCAGAATTTTTATGTATGTGTGTTTTGGCATAAAAGCGTAAAACATAAACTGAACTGAAAGCTGATTTCGATTCAGTTTTCTGCCACACAATTTTACTCATGTGTGTTCCTGGCCTAAAATTATGTGGCAGAAAACTGAATCAGAAATCAGCTTTCAGTTCAGTTTCTGTTTTACGCTTTTATGCCAAAACACACATACATAAAAATTCTGGTCGAATAGGAAATGCCACTGTCACTAACAGTGCTAATTTTATTAATTTTTCCTCTCATATATCTATCCCTTTGTACTTTCCATTTTTTCTCCGCTTCCTCCGCTATAATACAGAAATTAACAGACTCATATTCTGAATTCAGATAAGAACGTGTGGTCTAAATACTAGGCCTATATCAAAAATCTTCTAATCTGAATACCGGTATTCTTATAAAAATCATACTTACTAAACCTTTATTGTCCGGTACTTGTAAATTATTTGCAAAAACAAACGACTGAGGCCGAAAACGTTTGTTTTTGCAAATAATTTACAAGTACCAGACAATAAAGGTTTAGTAAGTACGATTTTTACTAGGCCTATATATCGATTCTACTAGACTTACCTGTTATTTGAAATTTAACACCTGTAGCCATCCATAAACGTTGTTTAATTAATTAAATACAGTGTCTTTATGCATGATACTGATGTGGTTGAACAAATTCAATAAATTCCTCTATTTCATTTATTTTTCGTTTTTTCCAGACCGTCACAATTGTAGGATTAACCCTCATTGCCGCCATTGTTAGAATAAAAACCACGTGTCTACTTTGATGTCACAGGAAAGACTTCTCTTTATTGGAAGAATTTTGGTGTAAAAATTTTTTGGCGTAAAAAGTAGAGACATGCTCTACTCTATTTTCAGTTCTGTTTCAGCCAAAATTTCAGAAAAATTTTTACGTTTTCTGTTTTAAGCTGAATTTTACGCATGTGTGTTCCTGGCCTTAGTGAAAATTCTGCTTCCCACATACAAAGAAATGCTATGAACCTGAACAAGGGTAGAAATACTTGTCTTATTTTTGTTTTAATTTGTAATACTTTCTACATTGAAGACATGCTTCAGTTATTGTAAAAAAAAAAAAAAAAGTTATTTTTAAGAATTATATATGTAAGAATCATTAATGAATAGTAATGATCAATGTGAAGCATATGACAGAATTTGCAAAAGTGTTTTTTGCCGAATCTTTCTTCAGTAACACATCACACAAGGAACAGTTGATTTATGTATTTTTTATTAAAGGAAATGCATTTCGGGTCTTAATGACCCCTCTTCAGTTCTTAGACTTTACAAAAAAAACAAGATTGCATTATACAGAATAATACATATAATATTTCAACAAAAATTTTTAAAAACTTGCATGGTTCATTGTTGGTTACAGTTGACATTAGAGAGTATGTTGGGTAATTGACTTGGTAATCAGTACTCTCTGATGATAATTGTATTATTAAATATAATCATTAATATTTAATAATAATTTTTGCTGCTCTACAAGGTTGTAGATAGTTGATTGAGTGACCTACTGAAACTGTTATTTTATGAATTGTAAATTTGAAAAGCATAGATAATCTAATGCCCATTAAAAACAGATAACTGAACCTTACATACAACAAACATGATGACTAACATTCTAATCAAAGCAGGAAGGCTCCGTCATTTGCATGCACATACTGCATCAGCCAAAGTATTCCTCCACATTTATTGTAAGGCTAAGACTCCACTGCCATAAAAACGGCGTAAAAATCCCTCGCCGTAAAAGCTTTTAATCATGTGACCCTGATATCTTACGCCTGAGCAGGCTGTAAAACCAGCGTAAAAGCGAGTTGAGCTATGTTCAACTTTTGACACGAATACGGCCATAAATAGGTACCTTCCACCAATCACAAGTCAGTGAAATCTAGGTCATCGCAACACGAGCTAAAATGGCAGAAAACGAGTTTTTTATGTACGTTCTCTCGTGGCTACCCTAGAATAGATCCGGAAAGATTTATCGAAAGTATTCGTGTATCTACGACAGGAGATAACTCTATTATAATAATGGATACCAAAGGAAATCCTTCAATTTAGAGGAGTATATAATAAAAAAGCTAAGCTTATAAGTGCTGTATATTATCTTAATAATACGATAATAAAAGTTAGTATATTAAAGTAACAATATTATTTTTACTACATTTGTAATGTAGAATATAATCATTGTCTTTATATCGATATATCACGTATACAACCGTCTTCCGTTTCCACCAATTTATGTGCGAAGAAGTATTTACTTTCAACACTTTGGGCAGCACCTTCGCCGTAAAAACTTTGCCCTAGCCGGATCTCCACCATAATCCCAGCGCAAACAC